ATCACCCAGGTGTGTGTGGTTCGGGGGGGGGGTCACTTATTATGTCTTGTTTTTTGGCATTTGTCTTACGGGATAATTTTCCATGGGGTTATTGGCCTCGGAGGGGGGGGGGGGGTGATTGTCCAGGGGGTAATTGTCCTGATACCCCTCTAATTGTCATTAGATTGTATAAAAATGGACACACTAATTTGCTACGAAATGGTAAGCATGAAACATGATAGAGCATAAAAGATGACAAAAATCAGTATACCTTTGCAAGAATGATTCATTCTTTATAATGTATAAACAATTCCTTGAAGAATAATTTGTAAATGAATTGTTGTAAAATTATCTGTGCAATGGATTGAAAGATAGTTTTGATGTAAATATTAAAAACCAGCTCAAAATTACTTCCTTTATGTGCTAAACCCATTTTCATTTGTGTTTGTTGGTGTTTACGGGATGAATTTGGGAAAAGTGGAGAGTTGAGAGAATAGAAGAGAGAGCTAGAGATAGGGAGTGAATAAGAGCGATTAGTAGAGAGGAGGGGAGATTGGAGGGGGGGGGGGGGGAGAAAGAGATACAAAAGAAATTATGGCCTTTTATTGCATTACAAAATGTATTTACAATTTTAAATATGTAAAACACTTTAACTTGAAAATGTGAGTACAGTGGAGCCTGTGACTTAAAAGTATTGAAAGCAGTAAACAGACGGAAGATTAAGAACTTAAGAGGGATGAAAGTGAAACGGTACGACTTGGAGGGGGGAGGGGGTGAAAGGGCCGGAGAGCGAGGAAAATTGATGATAGGGCGATTTTGTTGCATTTTCAAGCTTTTTAACAAATTAGTTTCTCGGTTTATACCTCGGTAGGGAAATGAAAGAGTAAGAGAGGAGGGAAGAAAGAAAAAGGGTATTACCACGCCTGAGAATTTCCCGATTTTATTTTTTTGTTTTGGTGTTAACATTTTTAGTGTTCTTTTTTAATGATTTTCTTTTTAAGTGGGGTGAAAGGTGAGAGCGAGGAAAAGCTTATTTACCGGTATTGGTTTATAAACCGAGAATACCAACCGACAACAAACCGAGGATCCCAAACTGACCACGTACACAGCCCGATTGTATCTAGTCAGTTCCCCGCAAGGCCAGCATCAATACCGATAGCCAAAATGTACAGCATTTTTGTCTGTTTGTTGGTGGGGGCTTTGGTCATAATAGGCGGATAAATGCGAGAGAGCAAGATAGTCATGTTATGTAGGGAGGGTGCGAGAGGGATGATATCATGTTAGCCCATCCACTCTCCCTTCACATCTCTCTCTCTCGAGTGATTTTAAAAGTTGTCCATTGTTCATCATATCTTTAACAAATCATTACAATGATATAAGTTATCCTAATATTGTGTGAAACAATTTTCTGACTTGCATATAGATCGTTACCAAATACAAAAGGGTAAGTCCATGCTGATTTCAAGTTGGTTTTAATAAAAGCAAAATAAAAGAGACAAACAAATTAGCGAAAGTTGAGCAATTTCCGATTAAAAATAGGAAAGTTATGAATTTTCGAAGCTGTCATAAGTGGAATTAGAATTGGCAAAACTGTGACGTATCTTGCAAGCTTCTATCCAATTTACTTTGTACAAACCATTTCCAGAACTTAAATTTCCTTAGAAATATTTTTTTTCATGCAGGGGTTGTATAAAAAGCATATATATAGGCTGAATGTATGATTGAAAATTTTCTTAAGGGAAATGTGCTTATTCGGAAATTTTTTAGTACAGGGGAAATGGTAGGGGACCTCGCGAGATACTTTACAGAGTTGCCAATTTGTGTTTGATTGAACGCACCTTCAAAAATTCACAACCTTCTTATTTTCAATCAGTTTTTCTCAAAATTTCACTGACCTGTTTCTCTCATCAACTTAATATCAGGTTGGACTTTACCTTTACGGAGTTGTAATGATAACCTCTGTTTCCTTTGTGAAACTGAGCGTTGTCATTCCATTGAATACAGATGCCTAAAATCAGCTTCAAAATGAAATCAATAGCAGCATACAATTTCTTGTTTGAACTGACAAAAAGTTCAAAAATTACATATTTAGTCAACAATTGTTTGTTAGAAACACTGCACAACAGCTCTCTCTTTATCCCGTCTATCTGTCTTTCTCTCTGTCTCTCCCTCTCTCTTTCTTTTTATCGTTCTCTCTTGTATTGCTTATTACACACACACACATACACACACTCAGGCGCGGATCCAGGGGGGGCCGAGCGGGCCTTGCCCCCCCCCCCGCAAAAAAAAAAAAAAAAAAGAGAGAAGAAAGGAAAAGAAGGGAAAGGGAAAGAGGAGAGAAGGGAAAGAAAGAAGAGGAAGAAAAAAAGAAAAGGGGGAAGAAGGAGATCGGGGGGCCGAAAGGGCCTTGCCCCCAGGCTGTTGACCCCCCCCCCCCCCCAATCAAAAAAATAAGAGAGAAGGAAGGAAAGGGAAAGAAATGACATAATTTCCGAGATTTTTCCTCACTTTTTAGTAAATACGTTTGTATGTGTTTGTTGGAGAATGACAAATTACTAAATTTACAGCCAGGCAAGAAATATGATTCTTGATATTCCTACATGTCAGGCCCGAGGTGGGGCGGGGATTGGGAGCCTCGAGCTCCCTCCCCCCCCCCCCCACTTTTTTGAAAAAGTATATTAAAGAGAAACAAAATAGAATGAGAGCAAGAAAGAAAGAATAGTTAACTGCCAGTGTTAAAAATTAATGAGGCATCTAAATATGCTCATCTGACCGTGATTAAATGCCTAAAACCCCTAAGCTCCGGGGGCTCTGCCCCTGGATTCCACCTAGGACCCTACGGCGGGCCCTTTGATGCTCATCTGACGGTAATTTAATGCCTAAAACCCGTGATTTTTTTGGGCTCTGCCCCAAAGAACCCAAGCCAAATAGTGACCTGCCAGTGTCATAAAATAATAAGGTATACAAAAAAAATGCTCATCTGACCTTAATTAAACGCCTAAAACCCCTGAGCTTCCGAGGCCGGCTCAGCCGCCTCGACCCCACCAGGGGCCCTAAGGCGCCCTAAGGCGGGCCCCTGAATGCTTATCTGACCGCAATTTATTGCCTTAAACCCCTGAGCTTGCGGGGTCGGACAAGGTATCAAATGTGTTTATCTGACCGCAGGCGCGTAGCCAGGGGGGGGGGGGGCGGTCCCCCCAAATCGGAAGAGGACATAGGAAGAAAAAGGAGCAGACAAAGAACACCTTTGAAAAGGATTAAGAGTATAGAGAACGGTACAACGCATCGTCTTCTTTCTCTAATAATTTAAAGAAACGTCAAAGCTTCGCTCAGGAGGGGAGGGGGGGGGGGCAAACTGAATTCAGACAAGGATTAAGAATCGAGAACGGTACAGCGAATCGACTCTTTCTCTCATAATCTTGTGAAACTTCAAAGCTTCCGCGCAAAGCGCGGGAGTGGCGAACCTGAATTGAGACGAGGATTCAGAGGCGAGAACGGTAATACGAATCTTTAATGATTTAATGAAACGTAAAAGCTTCCGCGCTTCGCGCGGGATGGAGGGGAAACTAAATTCCGACGAGGATTATTTTCGAGAACGATACAACAAATCGTCTTCTTTCTCTAATGATTTAATGAAAATAAAAAACTTCCGCGCTTCGCGCGACAGGGGGGAACCTGAATTCAGACGAGGATTGAATCGAGAACTGTACAGCCAATCGTCTTCTTTCTCTCATAACATTATGAAACTTAAAAGCTTGGGGGGGGGGGACCTGAATTCGGACAAGGATTAAGAGTCGAGAACTGTACAACGAATCGTCTTCTTTCGAATGATTTAATGAAACGTCAAAGCTTCCGCGCTTCGCGCGGGATGGAGGGGAAACTAAATTCCGACGATGATTATTTTCGAGAACGATACAACAAATCGTCTTCTTTCTCTAATGATTTAATGAAAATTAAAAACTTCCAGGGGGGAACCTGAATTCAGACGAGGATTAAGAGTCGAGAACTGTACAGCCAATCGTCTTCTTTCTCTCATAACATTATGAAACTTAAAAGCTTCCGCGCTTCGCGCGGGAAGGGTGGGGGGGGGGGGAGGACCTGAATTCGGACAAGGATTAAGAGTCGAGAACAGTACAACGAATCGTGTTCTTTCTCTAATGATTTAATGAAACGCAAAAGCTTCCGCGCTTCGCGCGAGAGGGGGGGGGGGGGGGGGGACCTGAATTCAGACGAGGATTCAGAGGCGAGAACGGTAATACGAATCTTTAATGTTACCTTCCGCGCTTCGCGCGGGATGTAGGGGGAACTAAATTCCGACGAGGAATATTTTCGAGAACGGTATAACGAATCGTCTTCTTTCTCTAATGATTTAATGAATCGTAAAAGCTTCCACGCTTCGCGCGGAAGGGGGAAAACTGATTTCAGACGAGGATTAGTGTCGAAAACGGTACAACGAATCGTCTTCTTTCTCTAATGATTAAAGGAAACTTAAAAAGCTTCCGCGCGAAGCGCGGGAGGGGGGGGGAACCTGAACTCAGACGAGGATTAAGAGTCGAGAACTCTCCAAAGAATCGTAATAAATTAATAAATCGTAACATTTTCCGCGCTTCGCGCGGGAGGGGAAAAAACTAAATTCAGACGAGGATTAAGAGTCGAGAACTCTCCAAAGAATCGTAATAATTTAATAAATCGTAAAATTTTCCGCGCTTTGCGCGGGAGGGGAAAAACTAAATTCAGACGAGAATTAGTTTTGAGAAGGGTACAACGAATCGTCTTCCTTCTCTAATAATTTAATGAAACGTCAAAACTTCCGCGTTCGCGGAGGAGGGAGGGAGAAACTCGCCCCTCCCTGCACCGACCCCCCCCCCCCGCATTACGTCACTGTTGGTCGCCATTACGTACCAATATTTGGTTCCCATAATTTCACATTTGGGCCCCCCCCCCTAAGAAATCCTGGATCCGCGCCTGCACACACTCACTTTCAGATATTTAAACGAAATGCACAATGTTATAACAAGTCGAAAGGTAGAACTAACTTTATTTTCTTTTTCCAAACGTTAATTCACAGAAGGGGTACACGAAATTGAAACGTGGTCGTTGTTTCTTGTGTTAACAATGAAATTCTGAAGACGACTTTAAACTGGCTGAAGGAACTCTACTTGATGACGTCATTATCTTCTATAATGGAAAGACTCGTTCGTCACTGATACAAAAATTCAACTGCAAAAGAATACACTATGAATTTCAAATCTTTTCGTATTACATCAATCAATATTGTTTAAGAGTTCATGTGAAGGAGAATGACGTGAAGAAGTGCATGAATGACGAAGAATGTTAGAGGCATGGGTATAAACAGGTAGATGAAAGGTTAAAAAAAAAAGAATACCTATAGCGATGGGGTGGGGTATATGGGAGCGGATTGGATGATCTCCTTTCACTTTACCCCTACCTTGTTCATTGTATTTTATTTTATTTTCTCATTGATTTCTCACAATTCGGTGAGGGGGGGGGGACACACGGCCCGTAGCCCCTTAGTTTCGTAGTAGGTCCATTGTCAGAGTGCCGTTTTAATGTCTAAAACCTATCATAACCGGTACGATAATAAGACGTTTGTAATGAATGAAGGCAGAGAACTTTCTTGCTACGAGTTCCCTGGGGGGGGGGGGGGGGTGCCTGAAGGACGATGTAGCGGTTGTCGTTGCAGAAATAATTACATTGTATACCTATTAGCAAATCCACGACTGCAATCGACAAATTCCAAATAAAGGGTCCTTTGTTTCACCCAACTCGGCAAACATGTGGACTTATTTTGGTGGGAGGGGGGGGGGGGGGGGCTGGCTCTTATTAAATTTGTTTTTCCTGCTTGTACATGTCACTAATTAATCCAACATGTTATTGGTCTAAATGCCTTTTAGTGTTAAGTTAGCACACAACTTCATCTAGGGAACAATTATTTAGGAAATCTTATTGGACTACATGTAGTTTTCATTTAAAAAAACACCACAAATAATGGAAAGAAAGACTCCCGGTAAAGCCACAGCGTAAGTGATTTTACATAGCAGTCTCTGGCCTTTTCTTGAGCCATGCAGCGATCTTTGGTTCAGCTTTCATGCGGTCAGAGAACTCCTTCAAAGCTGGATACATGGCTGCTAGGGGTGGCATGCTTCCGAAAATTGTCTCCGCCATGTTAAAGACCGTGATATCAGCAATGGTCATCTGGATCGAGATAGAAATCGGGTAGAAGTGAAAACGATTAAAGAGAAAACCAACCTTAAATTGACTCGGTAATATATTGCCTCAGATTCTGAAACAAAATTCTGGATTTAGCTCATGCTGCAATCATAATTTTAAACCTTTAGGTCAGTCAGAAATCATGACTTTTACAAGCCGACCGCCTGTCTGATTATCAAGATATTTATGATTGGAAATCGAAATTCTATTTTTCGTTTTCCTAACGGTTTTATAACACTACAGTCTATCGGGGAAAATGAGTATGGTAAAACCGGTCACTCCAGGATTTTTACTTTTTTGAGGCATTTCATGATCATTTGGATCAATAGGGTTACAATATTATATTATATCACAGACAATGATAGCACGTAGGGCCGTGCATCTCAGATATAACATTGACGATTGAGTTCTGGGAGAGGTGAAAGCTAAACAAAAATGTGTGTGCTTTTTACATTCTTTATAATTATGATTGTTATTGTGGAAGTGTATATCAGAAAACAGGTCCACTGAAAAGTATGCCTCCATAATTATTCAAAACATGACAATTAATAGCTTTAGGTTGGGGACCTGCACAACTCTCATGTCACATATTTGTGAAGCCCTATACGGTATACACATTTCTGTGTACAGGACATATCTTTGACTGCTATGAGAGGCATCGCTGTTTCTATTGGCTCAAGGGGACCTTGCATCCTGATATGACCCCGAGGCGCGTCGGACTGCCCAGAGAGCCAGTACAGAAACAGCTATGCTTCGAATATTAAAGGTAATACAAGTTTTGGTATTGGATCATGAATTTGGTTCAAATGAACATATTGGATACATATGCGATCCTACAGTATTCAGTGATCGTTGTCGCGGTTGCAATCGAGTCTAAAGTTATTAAATTGTAAATAATAGACTATTTATGTTGTAAAGCTCCCTCTCAAGGTCAAGATATTAATAAAGCTATAAAACAATGTTTCTTGACTAAAATCAACCGATTAGCTATTCCCGTTTGGAATTTATATATCACAACTACATATCCTGAGATTTTCATGGTCGCAGCGACCGTAGGCGCGATTTGAAATTCATCAAAATTTACCGGGAGCACCAGTACATTTTTATGTTCAATTTTCTCTATAGCAGAAGTGTTTTAGGGGCTAAATTTTCTAGTGCTTATAATACATCCACAGGGGCATCCAAATATATCAAAATTGCAAAAAATCACTATCCACCCAATTTTCAAATTTCCAAAACTTTATATTACCTTTAAAGCAGTCGATATATCTTTTATAAACCGAATTCACAACAAAATCTACAAAGAATTCTTACCTTATCCATTTCTTGAGTAAAGACTGGTTAAAACCTGACAGAATATCTGAGACAAGTACTGTCTGTAAATCTTTGCTGGAAAGTTGCCTGAATGTTACGATTATTCGGGAATCGCAGACAAAAAGCACTATATGGTATCCGCGCTCGCCAAAAGAAACGTTTTACACGTAAACCATTGGGGGCAACGGGCATCTGAAAAAAAAAACTATTGACCGATAGGCTGGAATGGCTAAAATCACGACTCCAATTTTGACCAATCAGATGATTAGACTTATTCAACATACTAAAGAGAGGTAAATAATGTCATTTATCACTATAACTAGACATGATGAAAGAATGAGGACTCCTGAACCAACCTTGTCGCCGACGAAGAAGCCCTTTCCACCACTGTTCTTCTTCAGAGCATCGCACATAGCGGTCAGGATGGTTTTAGAGTCCTTCTCAACAAAACTCTTTCCTAGCTCAGCCTGAATATTGATAAATGATGGAAATATAAACGTTATTAAAAAGCATGATTATTCCATCATTACTCTGCGTGAATACAGGGTATACGAAATTTTACACTTATTTTCTTACTTCGTTTTCTTTCTCTAGTCAACAACAAAAACAACATCAACAAAATCAAATCCAGTTTTAAGTCGTTTCTTCAGTAAAAGTAGAAATAGAAACATGAATTACTAAATGTTATTATTCGTCTTGCAAGACTCACAAGTATTGATTTTGTCATGATCGGCATATGTCAAAAACCACTATACTAGAATTCTTTTAAATTAGAATGGTACGTATTTAATCTTTACTTTTCGTACTTCTCCATTTGTAATAATATTTTGATGTTTATCTTTAAAAGATCCTATAGGGCTTAACATCCTCCATAGAAGAGAGTTTTTTTATTTTCTTATTTTATAAATTAATCAATTTTCGCTCTTTAACTTGGCAACGGTTAATGTTTTGTCCACTCCTTCATAGTTTGTAAAAATTAATTTAGGAAATTGTTTATCCGATGTGAAAGAAAATTGCAAATTTGTTAACGAAAATTGTGATTTTATATTCCACACCGCGTTGCCAATTTAGAGATGATTCGTTACAATAAAATCGCTCTTATTCGAGAACGGCACAATCTACTACATTGGATTTGGAAGAAGAAATCTATTGTTGTGATTTTCGCTCTTTCTGATCACGTATAAAGTATAATTACTAGCAAATCTGGACCAAAAGATAATGCAAAAACGTCACTAAAAGTTGGTTAACCTCACTATACAATCTTCTTTCTATTTAAAAAATTCCTAGGCACCATAGGAACTAGTGTTTGAACAATCTACAGATTATATCAAACCACTTCCGAAAGTCCTATGAGTCCAAGGGACTATTTACACAGGATATCACTTTATTGCTATCATTCAGGTGAACTTCACATTATTTTCGTCTGTAGAAATCGTATTCATAACCTGGGCCCCGAATTATAAAGAGTTGCGATTGATTCAAATCAATCGCAAGTCCTTCAATCAATCGCAAGTTTGCCGTCTCTTATCTCTTATGTTCATAATTAAGATTAATCACAACTGTTTATAAGACGATGCCAAGGTGTCTAATAATATTTGTCCCCGTTGGAGTTATTGGCGAGATCTAAAGAGAATGGATAGATCTGTGAAATCTCTTCCGAGCAGAGAGATGCCATTTTCCATCGAAAGACTAATGTATGCACACGTTCATTTTTAGGAATTATTGTCAAATTGTCAGAGGTTTCCATTATGTAGGCCTATCTCAAAAGATTAGAAGCACGAAACGTAACTTAATGTGAATTTCTGGCCCGCCTGGTCGAGGTATTTACAAACTCCTTTAATATATATTGAACTGCTCATAAAAGAATCTTTACAACATTTTCAAAGTGACATTTGTCAAAGCACGATTGCACACACGGTGTCCTTTTGATTGCGTTATTACCCGCGCTTCTCAAGTCTGTAAAGGAAATATCACAAACGTCAGTACTTCAAAGTGATGTTTGCAATGTTCATTTTGCATTCATATACGTTGTACGTGTCTCTTTCGCACGACCCTTAAAAAAACGCGCTACTCGTTGACGCAGTCCTACGCCAATCAACTGACGCCTCGTGTGCAAAGGCCAATATGCGTCTTAAAGCCCCACTGCACAAGTTTGGCCAGGAGGGATGAAACCTCCCTGCACGGTCACTGACAGGTGTTTTTTCCATCAAATTAGCTCTCAATTTACATAAGAAAAAGAGGATCACGGGGGACAAATGGTCACCGATTAGGCATTGTTTGCTATATAGATGGCGCAAGTAGCTATAAGTAGCGCAGAGGGGCTTAACAGAATTGCAAAGGTAATTAATTAACAATGTGATTGTGAGCACTTACCTTCTTTGCATCGTCTTTCTCGAAGAACATCTTCATGATATGAGTAAAGATATCTCCGACGCATTCACACACGACATCAATACGTGTAGCTTCTTCTATGTTCTTGCCGTACATGTCTAAAGGATCAATAATCAGACATTATTATTTGGCAGTCATGAAGACACCCGTTATTGGAGGACAATCGATGTTCTCGATAAGAGAGATAATTTCCAGTGTAATTGATCCTTATTCGAGTAATTTTCCTGCAATTGTCTCTCTAGACCGAGTTGCGGTAAATGATAATGGAATTTAAAAATTCAACTTTATTCGTTTTTAATCAAAATATAAACATATTATAAAATTAAAGTTGATAAGTTTTAGCCAATCGTGGGCTTCGAAGTTGAAGAGAACTTTGAGTTCTGGGAAATCTGCACAATAATTTGTGAGCTTTTTCATTCTTTTTAATGTTATTGCGAAATAGTATCATAGTAAAAATGTCCCTGTAAGGGATCGCTCTTCAAATTTTCGAAGATTTGCAAATACCAGCCAAAGGTTAATTATGGAGCAGAACTTTCAGGTCACTGGTCACATATTTGTGTAGTCCCATATATAGCCATTTCCGTGTACAGTGCACGTAACTCTGAGCAAGACTGATCAAATTTTGTATGATTCTCAAACCCCACAGTGTATGTAGTACATGATCAACGTTTCCAATCGCTTCCACAAAGTTTAAACATTATCTTTAAGATGGCTGAATAAATTATTATCATCATCATTTAAATTATTATCATCAATTATTTAAGACATGATGTGATGCTCTTACCGAATGCTCTTGCAAGGTATCTCTCGATGGCGTGGCTCTGTGGGATTGGTGGAAATGGTGTAGCAGTGCCTTTTACGACCAGCACAGGTAACTGACCAAGAGGGGCTTCTGCAGTAAAAAAAATAAATAAATAAAAGCACTGTATGGTATGTCAAATTCAACAAAGATAAAGACACAGTATTAACTAAAGAGAAAATAGTCTGTATTCGACAAAATATGAATCTATTATATTAAATATATTAATTCATCTTTTTTTGTGTACATAGTGAACTATTACATTGTTATATAATTTAATATTTATTTAACATATATTGAACTATTGATATTCTATTGTGAGTCTGTTCAATTAGCACGCCATACTCCTTTTCTTAATTTTATATCACCCCTCTCTGTTTGACTCTCTCTCTCTCTCTCTCTCTTTCTCTCTCAAACACACACGCGCACACCCTCTCACATTTTTTCCCAGTCAGTCTTGCTTATATATATATCTAGTCCAGTACAATTGTTCTTCTTTACACTCTATTATTATTCCTTAATCCTTCATTTTTAGCTTATTCCGTATTTTGTGTTCCTTCTTACTCATGACACACGATTCCAGTCTATACGTACCCCTCTCTTCAATGGTCTCTTTTTTCATTTCTTCTCATTGTTTTATTTTCTTCTCTTTATTCATCATCTTCTTTTCTATTTATTTTTCTTCTTTCATCATCATCATCTTCTTCTTTTCTTCTTCTTTTTCTTCTTCTTCTTCTTCTTCCCTCCCTTTCTATTCTCTCCCTATCTTTCTATCTTTCTTTCCCTGCTCTACATTTTCATTTCTCATAACTGTTCTTGCCTCCTAATTATGTTATGAAAATATAGATATTATATATTTCATAAAGTTTGAATAGGGCGCAGTCTTCGACAGTTGTTACTAGCAGGGAGGAGAGAAAACCATGTCTCACCTCCCCATTTCTAGTATGTAAACTGCGTCTACGTCACAATGTCGACATGCATGTACATAATTATGTGCTCTATCAATAGAGACAGCCAATATACTTGTTCCATGATGTCAATATACATAATCAGGCCTAAAAAAAGAGTTTATTACCCCCTGCAAGCCCAATTTTGTGGTTGCTAGGTCGACTCTAAATTCCTGGACCGAATGGGTATTGGACTAATTGGTTGAGACCACTTGATATTTTACCAAATAGCTGTTGGACTAAATGGAAAATCGGAAATGACGCAAAATATATTAGACCAAATGCCAAAACATATTGATCGAACGAAGTGGCCATTAGGCCAGATGGTTCTCTAGATAAATGGCTATCGGTTTGACAGTTCATTAGACTACATGGTGATCATACGAAATGGTGTTGATTACTACACCATGTAGAATAAATTAGTCACTAGAAACGACATTAGACGTACTGCATGGCTATTGGGCCGAGTGAGATTCGACCAAATGGCAATATCCCCCTGTGCAATACCTATTGTGTCCTTCTCGTGTAAAATTGTCTCAAATTATTAGAAACCTTACCCTGTATTTGCCCTGTATTTGAACAAATAGACGGTCGTGATCCATCACGCATGACAAACAACGCGAAAAATGGACCATTGTCCCCGAGTACACATAGCATACGCCATCACTCTGGTTAATCAAAGAACACGCAGACATGACTGGCAGAAAATATGATTGACATAGCAAATTATCCACGTGTGTGTCTGTGGTCAGTGAGTGACTGTACTTGGGGGGGGGGGGGGGGGGGAGGGGGGGGGGCAGAAAATGCCCCCACTATGAAAATAAGAAAAGGGGCTAATACGGGACCATGGCAGGGACACCGGGACTCCTGCGGGAAAACAAATACTGTTTCGGGAAAAACTTTTGTATCCTATACCCCCCTTCCACCCCCAATGATTTTAAGGAATATCCAATTTTAACGAGCATCTTGAAATAGTTATCTTGTGCATATAGCCCTTGGTGATGCATTTTGTTTTGATTAACATAGATTATTTGGAATCTGTCTTATTTCATTCACTCCTAACATGTCATTTTATATCACTTTTTACCATAGAGCTATATATATAATAAGATACACTGTTGGTCATAATGGTGGAATAATTATTTTTACCCCAATTTATTAAATAATTTTGACAATGATTTATTCCTAATAGATCTAGATAATAGTATACATTCTCAGATTTTATTGAATGACAATTGGGGGAGTGTTTGTTTTGCGTGACTGCTAAAGCATGTGTGTGCTACTATGCTAATCAACGAGGAGACCTACGTCCTTAAGTCATAACTGACAGTAATGGGTTGTAGTGCCTCATAAAAGGGCACTAATATAGCACATCGACACGGTTTTGATCCTGGGGGCCACATCAAAACCGTGTCCATGTGCTATATTAGTGCCCTTTTATGAGGTATTAATCCCCATTACTGTCAGTTATGACTAAAGGACGTAGGTCCCCTAGTTGATTAGCATAGTAGCACACACATGCTTTAGCAGTCACGCAAAACAAACACTCCCCAATTATCAGTCAATAAATCTGAGAATGTATACTATTATCTAGATCTATTAGAAATAAATCATTGTCAAAATCATTCAATAAATTGGGTAAAAATAATTATTCCACCATTATGACCAAGAGTGTATAATAAGTCTTATTTTATAGCTCTATGTCTTTTACGTACCGCATTCCCGCTCGAACATGAGATGATAGATAATGGATTTCCCAACCCTCGGCCCCCCCCCCCTTCCAGCCTTTCATATCCTCCTCACAAACTTTGCCCTCCGGAAATGCCAAGTCGGAACGGTCGGAGTAAAGGTTACTGATCATCAATTATACAGATTCAAGTACAATGCCAATTGAAATTTGCATTAAAGGGAATTAAATCACGGTTGAAGTCTGAGCATGAGCAGATATAGGCCATTGCAGAACAAATTGTAAAATACCCGGAGACGAAATATCATGAACGTAATGAATAATTATCATTATTCATTGATACACAAGCGGTGGAAGTATTCTATTTATGTAGCACCTCCATCGCTGTAGGAGAGATTATTTCAAAATGAACGAAATGAATCTCTTCATGTGGATGTTTGGGGCCTGGCCCCCCCCCCCCCCCACTCCGGGGTCGAAATGACCGCATGCGTGTTACCAAAATGTCCGGTAAAGGGGTACTTTTCGTGCGACAAAGTCCAGCCCGAGAATTGTAGAAAAAGGGGTGTATTTGACTTTTCACCCGGAGATTTCTTTAAAAAGGGGGTGTTTTCCTTTTTTTCTCTCATCTCTTTGGACTTCTTAGAAATTATTCCGAATTTAGGGGGTACATTGAGCATTTTTCCGTATTTAGGGGGGTCTCTAAGGCAGGAAAAGCCCGCGAAAAGCCCGCGATATAGGGGGGTTCGGAAATGTTGGCAGTCCTCAGATAGGGGGTGATTTCAAAAAGAGGGAACGAGCATATGCGTACCCTAAATAACACTGAGTGGGGGGGGGGGGGTTGGGGTCAGTGTAGCAATGTGCTAACCGTGAACTGGTCCAGTCGTTGCACTTCCAAGTATGATACAGTGAACCTGTATACAAAGACCGCTAAAGGAGTCAAGGAAATAGTCTTTACAGGCAGTTGATCTTTTTATAAATCAAAGGTTTCAATAAGAAATCTCTTTGATATTGATACAACATAACATTCAAGAGAACGAAAAAGTATAGTCTTTATAAAGGAGGTTGGTCTATCTACACAGGTGACCCCCGGAGGTGAGCACAGAAACAGGTTTGAATGCACTTACTTGTGACGTCACCCTTGATGGCTTTGAACTCGTCTTGAGTCAGACGAGTATCTTCGTAATCGACCCCGGCTTGGGCGAGGAGAAGACGGGCGATCTCGCCGCGACCGCGGGCGTTGAAATACACGAGCTCGTACGTCGGCATGACGAGGGACTAGATGATGTCGTGTAGGTGCGGAGCGTTGAGAGGACCCTGTTACCTGGATGGCTGGCTGAAGCGGGAGTGAAAACAGTTCGTTGTGCATGTATGCTCTAGCTCAGGCCTTCTCAACTAGTTTATTAGAAGTGCCAAAACGAAAAGAATTTGTAGTTGAAGTGCCACCCTGTAAGGTCGACTGTGCTGCGAGGGAGCGTAGTGACCGGGCCGAAAATGGGTGGGGTCCAGGGGCGAAGCCCTAACAGGGGTAGCAGGGGGCTGAGCCACCTGAAGCTGGTAGATTTAGGGCAGGCCTTCTCAACTAGTTTATTAGAAGTGCCAAAACGAAAAGAATTTGTAGTTGAAGTGCCACCCTGTAAGGTCGACTGTGCTGCGAGGGAGCGTAGTGACCGGGCCGAAAATGGGTGGGGTCCAGGGGCGAAGCCCTAACAGGGGTAGCAGGGGCTGAGCCACCTGAAGCTGGTAGATTTAGGGCTTTCTAAAGGCCCAAATGGGGCATTTTTAGCACCATTTCATTCCACAATATAATCACTCATAATTTCATATTGATGTGAAAAAATTAGTAAAATTCCTGAGTACAATTACACTGGAGGTATATTTATATGTAGTTCTTTTTTTGTGTGCAATAAACACGGGAAATGTCAAAATAAAGTGAAATTAAACAAACAAAAACGAGAGGTTTCCAGATATTGGCAATGTTGAAATATCTCATCGTAAGCTAATTGTTGTTCAGACCTTTTAGATTCGTATAAAATGATGAAAAACGATAAATTCCCCCTTTCTTCCTTTTTGTTAATAAAACAGGGATTCTCTTTTTTTTTCTGTTTTTTGTTTTGTTGTTGCAACAGTCGCGCGCCACTCCGACTAACCGCAAGCGCCACAAGTGGCGCGCGCGCCGCCAGTTGAGAAGGCCTGCTCTAGCTGACTTGTTTGCATTTACGTTATTAGAGATTGGGGGCTGTGACTATAGAGCTCGAGCTTTTCCTTTTGTTAAATCTAGACGGAAAAGAGGTGAGGCATGAGCGGAAAGCAGTGGCGGATCCAGGGATGCCCCCCCCCTGGCGCTCAAGGGGGGGGGGGGGGGGGTGCACATTTTCAAATTGTCGAGGGCCAAAAAAAAAATTTCTCACTACCCCCCACCCCCTCCCACTGAGCGCATTTTCGGCGCGATTTTCAAATTTTCGGGAGAAAAAAAATAGTGCCCCCACCCCTAAGAACTCCTTGATCCGCGCCTGGAGGAAAGAGCGAGCAAAGGGAAGATAGAGAGACAGACAGAGGGAGAGCGGGTGTAAGGGAGACAGAGAAAGAGATACGGAGAGAGAGAGAGAGAGAGAGAGAGAGGGAGAGAGGGAGAGAGGGAATGAAAAGAAAGATTCTAGAGAAAGTAGCATGCTATCACGCCGATCGAGTGGAATACTCAGGCGCGATCGTATGGTTGCCAAGTTACCATTGAATAAACAAAAGATAGATTAAATATATCCTTAATAACATTAATCAAAAATTACTAAAATTTAGCGCTTGAAGGGGCTAAGGAAACAAGAGACCGCTACAGGGCACTTGCGCCCTTTTTAAAGAGCCCCCCCCCTCTCCTCCCCCATGCTCTCTTTCTCTCTCTCTCTCTGTTATTTCCCGTTATTACTCTCCTTCTTTCTCTCTCTCTCTGTTATTTCCCTTTATTACTCTCCTCTCTCTCTCTCTCTCTCTCTGTTATTTCCCTTTATTACTCTCCTCTCTCTCTCTCTCTGTTATTTCCCTGTCTTACCGTCCTTCTCTCTCGATCCCCCCCTCTCTCTCTCTCTCTCTCTCTCTCTCTCTCTCTCTCTCTCTCTCTCTATTATTTCACTTTCCTACCCCCCCCCCCCCTTCTCTCTCTCTTTCTCTCTCTGTTCCTTGTTCCACCCCATTTCTTTCGTTCTGGAAACATCCTCTATTTTCACGTGTGGCTGAGAGAAATAGATATTCATTTTTCATATCGTTTTTATGCGATGTCATCGTTCCATGTCATCTCCTATTAGTCAATGAAATACAAACTTGAAAGTATGACGAAGCAAAACGTGAAGAATGGACTTTACCCTGCATTTGCAAACACGCAATAATAAGTCAATGATATATAAAGTCTGAAGGCCATGCATACACTTGGACGGGAACACTACTCTCACGAAAGCCCTGGCCTTTATGCCTCTGCACACGACGTGGTTCAGTTTACTACAAATACAAACCTGGAAGCAGGGCGAAGCAATTTTACAGAATACCACAAATGTAATTATAATCATACTTTTCCATGCGTTATCTTATCGTCGAGAACTTTTTGTCCCAATTTGATCCGAATGCGTATATAGCCGTTGCGTCATAATTTGGGCAACGATGTTTCCAAATAACCTCATACTATTCAACTAACGAGTTGATCAGATGATAATAATAGGTCCATTTATATTATATAGCGCAGCTACCATATGAATTTACTCTACTGCGCTCATGATAACAAAATTATATTATTAACTGAGCCGCCATTATCAGCATTCATCTGCGCCAGGTGTTCTAGTTCGGAGGAAAAAGAATGCTACCCAGTACCGGGTACCCATTTTACTTCACCCGAGTGGAGAGTGGCAAAAGTAGATGAATATCTTGCCAAAGGACATTAGTGCCGCGGCGGGACTCGAACCGCGAACCATGTGATCCACAGTCTGATGACGTATCCACTATAGACTACGACACCTCATATTCGGGCAGTGAGTAGTCCAGCCTCTGTACCGTTTTCGTTTAGCGCACCCAATCAGCTGATAAAATAACACACCCTCAACGTTGAAAGTAGACCTAGCCATTCCTCTAAATCTGGACCTCGAATACGTGTGGACGGAAATTTGGGGATTGCGCGATAAAAAGAACGAACGGACTGAATCTGGACTAGGCAGTGAGTTGCTCCAAGTACAATTATTAGTCATATCGACGACACTCGACCATAACTCAGTGTCATCTGAAATCGAATATACATAGCCACTTTTACTCATCACTCTGATCATTTCGCCATTTCACAACCGACACTTAAAAATCTGTAAGACGACAATTCTTGTGTCACGTGATTAGAAAAGAAATTGTAATTGTCAATCATCATAGACAAAATTTACATGCAACTTTAAATATGAAAAGTAATGAAACAGCGGTATTTTATTTTGTATAAAGAATTCAATCACACAATCTGATAATATATTTTTGACGAGTCTTACAATCTTTTTTAAAATGTATGAATTTTCTTTCACTTGAATATAGCTAAGAAGGAATAGACTGTAAGCTATTTGAACACAGGTCTAGATTCTACTGAAACATGTTAAAACACACTGAATTGTCTATACAACTTTTTGTTCGTAAGATAACTGAGAGTCCCTTCTGTATACCGGCTATAAGGTTGTACAGACTTAACTAACGTTGTTTCAGGGATAACACTATCCCTAGTTGTATGAAGCAGAAAATATTTTTCTGAATAAATATTCTTCAACGGTGTTCCGTTCTACGGAAATCGGATTGGGCCTAACGTTTTGCATTAACCTCAAATAAAAAAAATGTAAACGTTCATAACAAGAACGTACTTCTTTCTATCTACCATTACATTTTACAAACAAACATAACTGGAAAGACTCCCGACTACGTGCATTCCTACCCCAGCTATAGTTTAAAATGGCGTCTCTGGTCTTTTAGCGAGCCATGCAGCGATCTTAGATTCAGCCCTCATGCGGGCATCAAACTCTTTCAAGGTGGGGTACTTCTCAGCAAAGGCGGGCATTTCTTTGCACAGCATTCCGGTCAAGTTGAATACTGCAATATCAGCAAGGGTCATCTGGATCAAGATATAATTTTTTTTTCAAATAAATATATAAACATAATTTGTTCAACTGCTAAGAAGTATTTGTTAAACAAAAACAACGAGATTTTCCTCCCAAACAAAGGAATGGTTTGACCATTCCTTAGCATGTTAGTAAGTTTAATACTGACAATTAAAAAGGTTTTTGATTTGAAGGGGCTCGAGTAATCAAGGTCGCGTAGTTACATATTAGTGTAAACTATATTGATTAAAAATACTCTATATTGATTTAAGCATAGGGTAAAATAAAATTGTAAGCACGGTTACATAAGTGCATATGAATTATAACTGTACTCCGTAGCGCTTGACAAAATAAAATTGTAAGCATGGTTATATAAGTGTATATGAATGATACTTATACTCTGTAATGCTTTGGGCATAGGGCAAAATAAACTCATAAGCATGGTTATTTGTAACATAACCATGACAAAGGGTACATTCCATTTGGCAAATTTTCAAAGGATTTGAGATCGTTGGATTATGTTGTTGCTTTACGAACTCACTACTCTTTTGATTGGAGGTGTCGTGGTATAGTGGTTCATTCACTTGACTACCAATCTGATGGTAGAGGGGTTCGAATCCCAGACGGGAACCAACGTCCTTAGGCAAGACATAAATCATACTTTGTCACTCTCTATACGGATGAAAATGGGTATCTGGCAATTTCTTGGATTATAATGATCGCCTTGAGGAATATTATTTTTTTTTTAATTATTGTTATTATTATTGTTATTCTTTTTTGTTAAAGACCGTCAATACTATCGGGCCAGAAGGGATTAGACCACACAGCGAGGTCATCGACAGGTGGCTATCTCATTAACTCAGCTCTCAACTATCATCAGAAAAAGAGGATCATGGGGGACCAACAGGCACCGATTGGGGAAGTTTTCTTTAAAGAGGGAGCAAGTAGCTACAAGTAGGACAGTGGGGCTTTAATAATAATTCTTATTCATATTGTTATTATTATCATTTTGATTTTACAAGAACTTACCGTAGTTCCAACACAGTATCCCTTTCCTTCGCTGTTCTTTTGTAAGCCGTTACACATGGCGGTAAGGATGGCGACAGAGCCCTTTTCCGCGAACTCCTTTTGCATCTCAGCCTGTAATAATGAACAATAATTAATGAGTTAGATCAGTTCAGTTCAATTGAACATATAAGACGACGGGCATGAAGCGCGTGCTAATATATACTAATCATTTTCCTTTTCCTTATAAACACACTCTTGTTCTTCTGGTTCTTCTTCTTTTGTTTTCCTTTTTCTTTCTTTCTTCTGCTTCTGATTCTTCTCTTTTTCTTCTACATTTTTTTCTTTTCTCTTCTTCTTCTCCGTGAATCAGGTGAAACCTTACAAGCGTTTCAATGGGATGTCGGTGAACTTGTACTTACGACGATCTCATGAAACGCTGCCCATGCAGGGCCCCTGTTTTATAAAAGTTATTATCAATAACAACTGTTATAAGCTAAGATTTCGTGTTGGAAAATTAACACAAATAATGGCCCCACTTTTAGATCCTGGCCTTGGACATGGCTTACTATATATTCTTCAGAATAATACTTAACCCATATACTCGTATAAAACTGCAAACAGCAAATGCAAAAACAACTAAAATCATCCTTAGTACTATAGGCCCGATTCAGGCCGATTTTAAATTAATGTAAATCTCAGGGGATCTCCCCCTGTCTGCTACCAGCCGAACATGGCGTAGATCCCGAAAACGTACACTGGGCAACAATAATCTTAGTCTGATGGTATGAATTTGTCATAGAGATTCAATGTCTATGGAATTCGTTGATCAAGCCGCAGTTTGCTGCTTGCAGCAAGACAGTTTAGTAGGGATTTGAGATAGAAATAGGAACCGGCCTGATTCTGAACTACCAAGTCCTAATAAATAAGTACCCCTTTTCTCTCAAAAATGGCCCTTGAAATGGGTGTTGGATTTGGAGTATTGAAGCCACACATCCCTGTCCAAACCAATCTGAGTTTCCATTAAAGGTTAAATAAATTTTCTTAAAGGTAAAGACCAGTTATGGTCATGCGATTGCATTGTGAAAGAAACGTTGTGGAATCGATCAAAAAAGGTTGATCATCTAGCATCTAGCATCTGCAAGGTTCTGGAATCATCAAAGTGATAAGAAATTTGGCCCATTCTTCGTAAAGTTACAAGCACTATACACAGAAAGATGTATATGGGACTACCCTATATCTCTCACAGACCATGAGAGAAACAAATTTACCAAATATATGAATTAGAAGGCGGTTTCCCGGCAAGTTTTTTATCATCATGTATTAGTCAAAACATATTCTTTCACATGATTGGTAATGAGAGCTTCCATTTCATTTTTTGAAATTGGGGCGTTTCCAATACTGATCTTTACCTTTAACAAAAAACTGCTGCATGTCCTAGAGGGCCACTGAGTTTAATCTGGGTTATTGCCTGGACAGATCGGTTTAGTCCGACTATTACTATACTAGTACGATTTGTTCTCTTACCTTCTTGGTCTCGTCTTTCTCGAAGTAAAACTTGACTATCTTAGTAAAGAGGTCGTCGACGCAATCGCACACGACATCGATGCGTGTGGTCTCGGTCTCGTCCTTCCCGTACAGCCCTGAAAAATTGAACACCAGAAATGATTATTATTTTAGAACCTAAAAGGAATTCGAAATGCTTATGTTAGGCTTAAAATGTGTATGCCTATTTTTTCCGTAATGATACGACTTTCCCGTGTCAGAATGTTGTTGTGAAATATATTTGACTTACATGAGCAATATTATAGGTATTCATATGGAGTTGCCTCCCTCGACCCAGGTGTGGTAAACCAAATAGGTACTCGGAAAGAAGAAACACTATAACGTTTAAAGCTCTATAGTCTTTAAAGGACTTACTATTAAAGGCATAGTTTAACAATGTTAAATTATACGTGTTATCATTGTCTGTGATATTGTGAAATATTAAAACCCTAAAATAATTGCGCTTCAAAATGACCATGAAGCGCCTCAAAAAAGTAAAAATCTTTTAGTGACTGGTTTTACCATACTCATTTTTCCCAATATAGTGTATTGTTATAAAAACCTTTAGGAAAACGAATTCTGAAATGTCTAATTCCAATCATAGATATCTTGATAATCAGACAGGCGATTGGCTTGTAAAATTCATGGGATTCATGTATAACATAATGGTTTATAATTATCATTGCAGCATGAGCTAAATCCAGGATTTTGTTTCAGAATCTGAGACAAAGTTACCGAATCCCTTAAGTATTAACAACAAAACACTTACTATTAAAGCATGCAGTGCCTAAACAACATAAAGCGCTTATGAATTCATACGCTAAAACGAAATGTTAGCACTTCAAATTGTTACGTGTTTAGTCCTAACACGATTGCAAAGATTTCGGAGAAACCCATTTAAAGGCAATCTAAATACCCTATTGTATATTCCAAATATATCGCATTCGGGTTACGTAATACGGTACGGTATTGCTAGCACAAAGCTACTGAAAGGGCTTCGATTGAATTTTTCAAGAGGCTTGCGATGTTATCGAAACAAGGAAACCCTTCATGATAGACACGGGTTCTTGTATAAAGCACTCATGTCGACCTGTCAGACTTAGATATCAATAGGGACTTTTAGATGTGCACGGCGGAGAACGTGGACTGCCCTTTTAAGGCAATGTGACGTCACTGCCAGTGCCTTAAAAGGACGTCACATTGCCTTAAAAGGGCAGTCCACGTTCTCCGTTGTGCAAATCTAAAAGTCCCTATTATCTCAGTTATAGCCGAGCTGACAAAGACAGTGACTAAAGATCACTCATATACACCTGGGTAAAGATTGGAGAGTGGTAAATGCAGATTAATGTCTTGCAAAATGACGTTGGTGCTGGGCTCAGATTCGAACCCGTATCTTGTGATCTACCTGCATTCTGGTGGCGTATCCACGGGACCACAACACTTCTTCGATTTCTATATTTCTATTAACATTCTTATTACTTAAATAAAAGACAAGATAATTACCAAAGACCCTTGCTAGATGTCTGGCGATGGTTGCACTCTGTGGGATTGATCGGCCGCCATCTTCAATTAGAACTGGTAGCTGACCAAGAGGTAACTCTGACAGGGGGAACAAACATGTTATTTATTTATGCATATATTTAATTATTTATTTATGCATTTATGCACCCTAATTAATTCATTTATTCATTAATTCATTTCATTAACAGGGAAGTCCATTCAACAAAATTTGGTCTCCCATGGAATCCAAGGAGTAAATTTAGAAAAAGAACCGTGCAATCAAATCAAACATTAACAAACAAAAATCAGAGAGTGAAATAAAACATATCTATAATTGAATTTCAAGTAATTGCAATTAAAAGTTAAACTAAAACTGTCTTTGCAATACGAGCATAGACAATTTTCTTGGGACGGGTTTTGAATGAATCAAGTGTTGTATTGGTCCCAAAGCCCATGTTTGTTTTTACTTCAACTGGTAAATATTACATAATAAAAGGCCGTCGTAGCATAATGAATTCTTTCAATACTGAGTACAGCATTTAAAGGAAACCTCACCCCAAGAAATTACGTAAGGTATTATGAGGGATTACTCGAATTCTTGCCCATCTACAAGGTTCCCCACATATGAGAGAGGCATAATAATTATAAGGCAAGAATAATATAATATACACTTTCTCAGCACGATATGGGCATCGCCATTTTCTTGATACCGTGACGTACAGTACTATGCAAACTCATTTCAAGTAAATGTATTGAAATTTATGGACGCTTCCTGCTCAGATGTGTGTAGAGATGAAACATTTCATTCACCTGCTATAATCCTTTGTATACTACGTCTATACAACTGCCAGAGCGCACATTACATAAATAAATTGGTGTTCTTCTTAGGTAAGGGTTTCGCAAAGAGAAGTTTGAGTTCTGGGAAGAGGTGAACAATTATTTGTGAGATTTATCATTGTAATTATGAAAGTGGAAGAACATCAGAGAAAAAATGTTCCCTGAAAAGCATAGCTCTTCAAATGCCTCCATGTTCTAAATAAGACAAGTAACGGCTTAAAAATGAGGCCCGATTTCTACGCCACGTGTTTTAGTGGTCTCATATACCGTGGCTACCGGTTACCCATTTTAATAACTTAAAGATGGAAGAAAAAGAAAGACAACTTTTGCAGTCTTGCATATTTTGCCATAACTGTATAAATGTTAACCAACAGGATTCTTCCTCAAGTGTTTGTTTAAGATTAAAAATATGAGTATTATTTTCCCATGAATGTCGTAATAACTATACTTACTCGCTGTGTCACCCTTGATGGCTCCGAATTCCTCTCCACTCAGACGGCAATCCTCGTACTCGACTCCGGCTTGAGCGAAGAGAAGTCGGGCGACCTCCGCACGACCACGGGCATCGAAATACATGAGCTTGTAAGTAGGCATGATGACGGTCTATGATTTTGATGATGATGATGACGAAGTATGGTTTCGACGATGTCGGATGCGCGGAGCGGTGTGAGTGCGGTGCTAGCTGGACGGAGGATTGCGACGGGAGTGAGGAGAGAGGGGAGTGGGGCGTTTTTATATGCTTTGAATTCACCGTTTGCTCATGCGATTAGCGTTGTTGTTTGGTCCTGTTTGTCCTATGCATTGTAAAGGTGTGGTCTCTTGGCAGGGACCTCGGCATATTATGTATGGACGAAGTCGGTCATTCCAAAGTGTTTCGTAACCACTGACGATCCTTTAAATTCCACACAAATCTGAGCATACAATATCATTGATTTTGCACACACTATTATTACAAATTCCCAGACCCCATTCTCTCCCCCTCCACATAATCTCTCTCTTTCTCTCTCTCTCTCTCTCTCTCCCCCTCTCTCTCTCTATCTTTCTCCCAAATGTAGAAAAATTGCATCATAATTTCGTAATTGAAAATAAGTCCAATGATGAAGGAAAAAACTACCTTACACCATGACTAGGCAAAACGTGAAGAATGGAGATACCTAAAAAGTCAATATACATACACAGGCACAATATGTCACCTTGGAATATTACGTAATGCATTGTAAGGTAGATTACGTAATAGACACCATACATATGTGACATCAATTAATATTCCGAGGGTAAATGAAGCCAAATTTCAAATTTGTCTGCGTACGATACTGATTGTACAGCATTGAAAACGAGCACGATTGTAAATCTAAAAGGGACATATAGATTATTCTTACGAAATTTTAGGTGAATGTAAATCGTCACAAAACAATGAATTGGCTATATATACCATTCCAGAAATTTAAGTGTTAAAAGATTCTTAAAAGCCTGTCTTGTGTCTTATTTTCATGGAAGACGGTTTGGAAAATTCAAAAATTGTTGGGAGAATTTACTGTTAATGGGTGCATGTCGCACGGTAACGTCTTCAAAGAAAACCATAGATATCTTTGTGGTTTGAGAATTTTGTCAGGATTTTAAGCATGTTAGAGGGTTAGTACAGTAGAAGGAAAAATTAAGTACATTTCATTCAAAAAATTATGATCAACCTTCAACAATATTACCGAGTCACTTAACCCTAAAAAGGCCGGGCTATTTGAGGTCTTAACACGGCAGGGGGGGGGGGGCATATGCCCCCCCTAAGATCTCAGCCGTGAAACGGCCGATCGCCGCGAAAATGTACACGCATGTCAAGTGAAGTGTATAGAATACTATGGTAAATTTAATTTTTTGAAAAATTCCCTCATTTGCATATTTATGGTAATTTATGCAAATAAGGTCATATAATTCACCTCTTTACCCATAAATCATATATTCTTTAAATTTAAGCATTCTTTTTCGATACATGTACTTGTTAGACCATTTGAAACAATAATACGACAAACAATGTGGAAGAGTTAGGTTATTCCTTAAAGGGAAAGTCCACCCCCAAAATAAGTTTGTTTCGATAGAGGCAGAATAATAAGAAAATCAGGTGAGTGAAAGTTTGAGCAAATTCTGAATGAAAATAAGAAAGTTATGAATTATTGAAGTTGTGATCAATCAAATACAAATTGGCAACTCTGTGACTTATTATACGAGCTCTCCTTCATTTGCTTTGTGCATAATATTCCATAAAATCATGTTTTCTTCGTTATTGATGACGGAATATATATTTGTTCCTTGCAGGGGGAGTATAGAAACATATTTGCAATTATTATATTTAGGGTGCATGTATGGTTGAAATTTTTCTTGAGGGAAAATGAAAATTTTAGATTTTTTTAGTACTGAGCAAATGGAAGTTGAGCTCGCATGATACGTCATAGAGTTGCCAATTTGTGTTTGATTGATCAAAACTTCAAAAATCCTAACTTCCTTATTTTTAATCGGAATTTGCTCAAACTTTCACTGACTTGTTTCTCTAATTTTTCTACTCCTATTAAAACTAACTTAATTTCAGGGTGGACTTCCCCTTTAATATGATATCTCTTGTTTTGATAATTTAGTATGTATTTTATTGTTTTTTAACTTATGTATTTCATTGTGTTTGTTGTTTTTGTTGTTTTATTTCATTTCTTACTACAATTCATCTATTTCGACTCCTAGAACAAACACCTAAACTTTGAACAAGACCCAATAATCAATGTTTTATCTCTTTTTAGGAAAAAATGACATTTCCGAAAAATGAGCGATTTTCGGGCTGACATGCAAAAACAAAAGGTCGCGTGACTTTGTAACTGTAGGTCCAATTTTCAAAAAAATTGTTTTAAAAGATGCGCAAGAATCGAAAGAAAAAAGTCTGCGAGCGGCGGGGCGCCATCCGTATGCGTTCCCGAACAATCAGAACAATCGTGGAGGCCTTATTAGGGTTAAACGTGATCGTGAAGACTTTCGAAAATCAACCTCATTAGCCTTATACTTTACCTATTGAAAAGCGGAAACATTACGTTGTGGTATTACGTAACATACGAACGTGATTTATAAGTGATTTAGTGTAGGGTCTTTCGAAGTGCACTTGAATCGATTTCTTGAAAGTTTTTCCAATCGCGATACATTAAAATAAAATTGAGTTTAAAATTATTTTTTTTTTAAATTAAAAAATCACTATTCACACCGAATAAAGTATAAGATACGACTAGTTTTCTCGTGATAATAAAACTTTATTTTTAATTGCTAAAATATTTTACACAAACAATACATCTAAACTAATTTATACAGTTGATTATATTAATATGAATTGTATTCACTCCATAAGTTTGTTTTTATATTGCAAGCACTACGGATTTTATTGACATATTTTGTGTAGAGCGTGACGTATTGTCCCTTTATAGAAGAGCTTTGACAACTCGTGATTTGAATGCAATTTTGTTTCCACTATTGCCCCCCCCCCCCAAAAAAAAGTACAATGTTCGAGCGTGTTTCCAATCAAATCGTAGCTCTTTCTATGGCCGGGTTGGCCAAACTCTCTTAATCCATGGCTCTGGTGTTACTCAGACTACATGTAGTGTAACTTGCACTCGTCGGAAAGCAACTCACGTAAAATTTATGATATGTGGAATTCTACTTTTCCCTCTATTTTTTCGGGGGCGCCGGCCAAAATGGTAGAAAGGGCATTTAAAGTGCGCATATCACCTCAATAAGTAGGAAAGAATATTGTTTTCATCACTGCAGCCACTAGTTACAAGCTATTGAGCAATTTTCTCTGAACTGTTCTGAAAATTTAGGAAGGTTTTTGCCCCCCCCCCCTCTCTCTCTCTTCCCTCAAAAGGAAGACGAACAAATGTCCCTCGACAACCATTTTACATAGCAGTCTCTGGCCTTTTCGCAAGCCATGCAGCTATCTTGGGTTCAGCTCTCATGCGTTCGTCGAACTCCTTCAGAGTTGGATACTTCTCGGCCAGAGGAGGCATGTGTTTGAAGAGTCCATCGAAGAGATTAAAGATGGCAATATCAGCAAGTGTCATCTGGATCAAGAAATAAAACGTATTGTATTTGGTCATATTCTCTAACAATCTAACAAGAATTTTACAATTTATAATATTTTGATTCTGTCCCGTGAACCCCCCCCCCCCCAAAAAAAAAAAAAAAAAAAATATCAACCAAAGTTTTATGTTGTTCTGACAATTATTAGGCAAGCACACAAACACACAAACAAACAGGATTATCAAATCTTAAAGTACGGGGGTGGGGCTAAATTGACTAAATTGTTCGCGGGGTGGGGGAAACAGACGGGGGTGGGGCACAATATTTATATTCTCGACGTTTTGGGGGTTTAGCAGGCGGTATCCCACGCCTCGCTGGATTTAACACTGTTAGTTTGGTGTATTCGATGTTATCATCATGCACTTCATTATCCTTCAACGACACTAAATACAGGCCTGTATTTAGCCTGAATACCTCAGTCACCCCCCTCCCCCCCCCCCCCCACCCTCAAGCCGATCGTTACAAGCGGTTTCCTCTACCCGTTGTCCCCAGGTCATTTGTTCCACAACAACAGATTACACAACACAAAGTGGTTAGATTTCAAGGGCTGATCTTCATTTTGAGCTTCATTCTTCAACACCAAAACTAAACTAACTCGTCCTCAGGACGGTTCGTTTAATGTATCTAGAATCGGTCGATACACCCATCACACGATTACAACCCGACCCATTCTTGGTCGTTCGTGGTTACTTACCGAATCTCCAACGAAGTATCCCTTTCCTTCGCTGTTCTTCATCAGGGAGTTAGACATAGCCGTAAGAATGGCGACTGAGTCTTTCTCAACAAAAGCCTTGCCCATCTCAGCCTGGTTTATCAGCAAGAAAAACGATAATGATAGTAATAACTTCATTAATAATTATAGCGCAGCTTCTATATGCTACACTGCACTTAATACAAGGTATCATATTTTGTTTACCCCGGCTGGAGCTGAGCCGCCGTAACAAGGGTTCAAGCGTTTGATGAATTTCTTTCTACCGGGTACCCATTTACATCACCTGGGTGGATAGAGATAAACGATAATTAATATTTTGCCAAAGGATATATATTTTGACCGCAAAATGGTGTGAAACTAGAGAAAAATGTACGGTATTTCTAAATGAGCTCCCTAACTTGCCGAATGTTTATGTGGATCTTAATAGAAAACAAAATGCGAGTTATCCTCCCGTTTTCCCATCGGAGAATTTTTTTTTAAGTCGGCCTTCAGCCGTTCAGAAGTCGTGCGAATCGTACGACATTTCTACGATTCGCAGCCGATCTAGTCTTTTCTTTGACAGAAGGTCGAAAATCAGCCGTTATTTCGACATCCCTATTTATTAGACTATTTAATATAATAATAATAATAATAATAATAGCCTAATAGTCCACTCCAAATTTTATTAAACCGAAACGGAAATTCTTTTTGCCCAATTGATCGTGAGCCCGGCAGCCACTGAGCAGCGCCAGATCGACGTTGCTCTATCCCTTATTGTTGAACGCCAAACAAGGTAGCAACAACTCCCATCTTTTAACGTCTTTTGGTATGACGCGGCCGGGGTTCGAACCCACGACCTCCCGGTTGTGAGGCGGACGCTCTACTGATTGAGCCAACGAGAAGGTATCTACATTATAACATCTTCAAGCTATTTTATTTTTTCCGAAATGTGATCGTAGCCAGATCCTGGCTGGGTCGTATAAAGGAAAAACCGGTGTACTTTCCAACTGCCCTAATTTTCCGTGTTACAATGTGAAGAAGTTCGTTTACCTTCTTAGCTTCGTCTTTCTCGAAGTACATCTTCATGAGAGGGGTGACGAGGTCCTGGATGCATTCGCAAGCGACGTCGATGCGTGTGGCTTCTACTTCGTTCTTACCATACAGACCTGAAAGATATCCATATAGGTTATCCATATCAAAATCACAGCTCTCAAAAAGTAACCAAGATCAACATATTGAGTAATGATGCAGGTGCATTTTTAACGGGACAGGAGGTAATTGTTCTTAAAAGTAGAGATTGAAAAAGTCTGATATGTTTGAAGAGCTGAAGTCATATCTAGCTCATTCCCTTTGTACCATCTTCGATGCCGCCAGAAGAAAATATGCCTGGCATGTGCTTAACTGCATCTTCCTTGCAGATACGTAGACAAAAGATTCCTGCCTATAGCTGCAAACTAACGGGCCACTTTCAAAGGTAAATATGCTTTTGTAATGATAATTACTTTTCGCTACCATTCGTCTGATAATACGAGCAGTACACAGTGCTTCCCTTTACAGGAGGCAAGCGAAAAGAAATGGAGCAACATTTCCTGAAATATTGATCACAATGTCTCGACTGGGATATGTTTATTTGTTAACATAAGTGAAACTGCTACCCCAAAAGACACGAAAGAGGAGTAAATATAATTACCCAGACTCCTGGCAAGATGTCTCTCAATAGCATGGCTCTGTGGGAGCGCTGGGTGATCATCGATTTGTAAGACTGGTAGCTGACCGAGAGGGACCTCTGCAAAATTAAAAAGAATGATGAGAAAATTACAGTGAAATCTTTTTTTAAAGACAACTTAATAATAATAAACTTCTAACGGATATGTTTATAGCGCACATTATCCACCACGCAAGGTGCTCAAGGCGCTCCAATATTACCCCGGCTCTGCAAGACTGCCGATATCGGTGCTCACATCATTCAAGGAGTTCCTTCCTACCGGGATCGATTTAACACCTGGGTGGAGAGTGGCAAATGTCAATCTTCCCAAAGGACATTAGTAGACTGGTAGTATTTATACACATGTGATATAGAAACACTGTGAAACTGAAGTTAGAATGGGCGTATTCATGGTATTATAAAGAATTCACTATTAAACACAGGTTTGACTGTTGGGGAGAAGAATATAATCATTATATATCATAGTTTACAGATTTGATTGAGGATTTTGCCAAGACCTGTCTATCAGACAGATGAGGCAACATTTTTAATCACGCCCTTATCTGGGATCTTTAGTCGATATTTACACGGATGCAGAAGACGTAGAGGGGGAGGGGCACGGAAGTGGCTGTTGCCCCGAGAGATATGAAATAACCAATATTCGGCAATCGTCACCTCATTATTCAGGCAGCGAGAAAAAGAATGAAGAAATCAAAGTCGAATTCAAGAATGAACTGTTAAATATTATTTGAACTCTAAATCGTACGTGACTTACAATTAAAAGTCGAGTACCATGCTTCTTGCACAATAAAACGAAACATTGCTCGCTTTGTACAAATAGGCAAACTTTGCGATAACATAGGTAAGAGTGTAAAATGGACGATTGCAAGGCCCTGACTCAAAGCAAACAGAATTTCTATCTCTCATGTTGATCAAGTGACTAGACACTGTACATGGAGTCTACAAAGGGTTGACGGGTATACTCAACTTAAAAAAAATGTTCTTATTTAAAAATGATCATGATGAATTTTGGTATTTATACAAATATTTATGCACGTCATTTGCTCTGCAAAAAGGGTGCAAAGTAAGAGTTTGCACCCTTTACATAAAAATGAACCCTATTGAAGGAAAAGGGGTTCAAAAAAGGGTGCAATATAAGATTTTGCAAAAAAATAATAAAAGTTTGCATATTGCATGCATATTCATGATTACTGTCCACGTGTTCACTTAAAAATACATTTATCATATGATTTGTTAAGCAAATTATGACAATGCACATCAATTTTGTGATTTGTATTTTCCTTCGGCAATCATTAACCAATAGATTATTTTGTCTGATCATGTTACAATTACATTCACATTTTAGCAATATATATATTGATTATATGATTACTAACCAAGAAACATCATGCATGTTTAATATGTATTTGTGTACGAGCAAATGTCACGAGTGTTCCTCGATGATGGATGCAGGATTGCAACTTTTAAAGGGTGCAGGGTTAAACCCCTTAAGGTGCTGCTATTGTATCGGTTTGCACCCCCTAAAGGAGCAGGATTGAACCATTAAGGGTACCCATGTCCTCTAAAAGGTTCAATCTGGCACCCTTTTAAAGGGTGCAGGATTGCACCTTTCAAAAGGGTGCAGGATTTAACCCCTAAAGGTGCTGCTATTGTTGCATCGGTTTGAACCCCTAAAGGTGCATAGTTGCACCTTTTTTTTCTTAGTGTGTATATGCTATTTAGACTGCGGTTTAACCTGTTGTAAGCAACCCTTTGGCATATACTATTGATTTAAGGCAATTAATGTTTGTTGGCACTGTTCATTTTCCAAGCACATTGTGTAATATCATGCAATTCACTGACGCAGTGTTACGTTATGCAAATGACGCCTGGTGTGCAAAAGGCATTCAAGTTTTTAAGTGAACAGTACTATGCACGGCGATGTAATTCAATAATAATAATAGTGGGTTCTTGTATAGCGCTCATGTCAGTCAGATTGTACTATTCATTTTTACTTTAAATTTGTGTACGAAGAGTGCACCCTCACATGGGGCGTCAAAATCATGTGGCAGGTACTGACGCAGTCCCTACGTCAGGCAAATGACGCCTCATTTGAAAAAGGCTTTATACTTACTCGTTACATCATCTTTGATGGCTTTGAACTCGTCTGAAGTCAGACGACAATCTTCGTACTCGACTCCGGCTTGGGCGAGGAGAAGTCGAGAGCACTCGGCACGAGCACGGACGTTAAAATAGATGAGCTTGTACTTGGCAGGCATGATGACGGTGTATGATGTCGACGATGATGTCGGGAGTTGTAGTGTGTAGTCTGTGAGTGTACGCTGATATGCGCTTGGTGAATGGTAGCGGCCAAAGAGGTAAGAAAGGGGCGTGTGATTTGCCTTTATTTGTCTAGTTCAGTATAGACTTTGGTTTTGTTTGCCTTACAACTTGGAAAAACGTGTAGGAAGGGCTTGGGCAACCAGTGGCGAAGATATCGAACGGGGGAGGGGGCGGGGGGGGGGGGAGGATACGGGGAGTGCGTGCCCAATTTTGAAATGGTGAAAAAAAGGGCCTTCCTTTTTAAGCGCATTTCATACTCCTTGTAAAACCGCCCGCCCCCTTTGGCAACAATGCCCTTTCAATACCTGCAGGGACTCAGGTTTAACCACTGCTTTCTCCCTCCCACCCCACAACACACACACACTCTCTCTCTCTCTCTCTCTCTCTCTCTCACCCCCTCTCTCTCTCTCTCTCTCTCTCTCTCCACCCCCTATCTCTTGTTTTCTCTATCTATTAAGCCCCTCCATCGCCCCTCTCTTTCATGTGAGTACCTAAAAGGTCAACGCCAATGACTTTGATAATTGATTATCATTTATTTAGAATAGAAATCACAAATAATATCCATTATTGTGGAACTATTTATATCATATCAGTCGATAAGAAATCAATGAAATACGGGTTACAATTACTGTAAGCTCAATCCTTGAGATAACAGTGTTTCATCATCGCCTGATAAGTATGCTTACAGGCAACGATGATTCACTTTGATAAAATACACTGATGACGTGGCAATACGATTTACATTGCCCCGTTGCAATGAAAAAGATTCAATTCATTTTAAAACTTGATTCAAATATTTGATAACAAAATCAAAGCGGTTAATGTTTAATTAAATGGAATATAATTCAGGGTGATTGGTTGATTGGTAGGATTTTATTCTTAAAGTACATAATGTGCATTTGAATTGTGAAATGTACTTTAGACCAAAAAAAAAATGGACTGACAATGATGACTCATTGGAGCTATTTCTAATTGGAAATAAGCTCGTATTAAATAGAAATAAGCTCTTCACTCGGAAATAGGCAATACGTCAACTTTTAAATTTCACTCAAAAGTCAGAAATAGCGAACGCAACAAACCCTATCCTATTGATGATCCTATAATAGTGAAAACATTGGTAGGATTTAGGAACCCTAATAATGACAAGCCTTTTTACAATCCCAAGCGCTCTGTTTAAATTCTCTACCATTCCTACAAATCAATGTTTGACATGTCAAAGTAAATATTGAATCAACAGATTAACGCATGCTTGTAGTCATGTTGGTCGTTCGATTGCTGTGAGTATTAAACGAACGCATGGTGAGATTAAAGTCAAAATATTAACACGTTGATATAAAATAGATATCAAGCAACTACCCCCAGACAACTACCCCTGGGATAGTTGTCTGGGGGTAGTTGTCCGGGGTGTAGTTGTCCTAGAGGGTGGTTGTCCTAGGAGGTAGTTGTTTGGGGGTAGATGTCTGGGTGATAGTTGTCCTGGAGGGTGGTTGTCCTAGGGGATAGTTGTTTGGGGGTAGTTGTCTGGGTGATAGTTGTCCTGGAGGGTGGTTGTCCTAGGGGATAGTTGTCCTAGGGGTAGTTTTCCTAGAGGGTGGTTGTCCTATAGAGGGTGGTTATCCGGGGGTGGTTCTCCAGGCGGTAGGTGTCCTAGAACCGAATCCTTTATGTGAGGATAGCAACCTCTTAGAAGGAGATAGACACTAGTATACATATTTTCCTTACATATTTTACCCTTCCACAGTGTTCCTTGATTATACTTATATAAACAATAAAAAACTTTTAAAAATATAGTTACATTAAGTATGTTTGTCATACATTAATATATCGGCCGTACAAACATACATGTCATTGACCTGTAATGCATATAATATGCGTTGTTAGGTAAGGCAAGCCATAATGTTTCTCCTACCTGGCATCAACGAATGTACGCAACTCGCATTCTGACTATTGAAATACAATTATTCGTAATAGATGAATGAACTAATTCGTTTCTTGGCACTTCACAAAGACGTGTATGCTTTAGATTTTAGTCACATTACGAAAATGGTCTATTGGTGCGATCTTAAACTCAAATATAGAGAGTCGTGATGTTACCAGCTCATGCAGTTGCGATCAATAGACCAGTGTACTAATATATTCAATTCGTATAGATGTTTTTATCCTGGGGACCAAATGACGAGGTCTTCCGTCTACGTGTTATTAATGAATGGATTACTATACTTGATAATCCAGTCTGTATACATTACTTGTTGCTAAGTTCAGCAAACCTCGGGCAAGATTTCAGGTTGCCAATAACAACATAATGTTTTAAAAAGTATGCAACAAAATTTGGAATAAGTTAGTAAACCTGTCTATTGAGATCAATCACAACTCTTTTTAAGACCGGAGCACAGTCCGACAATACACCGAACAAAAATTATATTTACAGGACTCCGATATAGCCAAGTTATCAGTCGGTTCGGCGATGTGACTGGAATATTGGCTTAACCCTAGTAGTATGATGTAATGAGCATAATAAGAATACCTTAAAAAGTGCTTTGTCATTAAATCACTTATGTAATGGTTGCAGGGGCGTACGCAGGGGGGGTGTTTTGGGGGTTCAAACCCCCCCCCTTTGGTATTTTCATGTATGTAAACCCCCCCTAAAAAAAACCTAAAACCCCCCCCCCCCCCCCTTTGGCTTTTTTTTTTTTTTTTTTTTTTATTTAAAAAAAAAAAAAAAAAAAAAAAAATTATACCCACGGCTAACCTAAATAAGGTGACCTTACCCCCCCCCCATACGTAAAAAAATGTCAAATTTTGAAATTTTGAGACCAAAAAAAAAAAAAAAAGTGTCCGCTTACCCCCCCCCCCCCCCCCCCCCCCCCCCCCCCCCCCCCCCCCCCCCCCCAATGACAGGCAAGGCCCGGGAAAGCTTTCAGTTTGTCGACAGCAACCTTTGTTTAAAGAGTATGCAAACAATTTGAATAAGTAAGTAAACCAATCACGACTCTTTTTGAGACAGAAATCCAGCCCGACCGTAAACACCGAACAAAATGTACAGGACTCTAGTACTAACCCTTGGAGTATGATGTAATGAGCATAATAAGAATACCTTCAAAAGTGCTTTGTCATTGAACCGCTCACCATGGACTAGTAGGTCCATGGTTAATCATACATGTATGTCGAAATACGGAGTAAGTAAGATTAGAGTAGTAAAAAACACAAAACACTCGACCAAGCAGCTTAATTGTATTAAAAATGGGTGATGAGCCCATTTATTTGTTGATCATCTATACATCAGCAGTAATAGAAAACCCTGCAAATCAATCAAGAAATGACAAACATAAATACAAGTGCAAATTCTCATCAACATGTACGAACAGTTGGTTTTGCAGGCACATCACATATATTTGAGACAACTAACAATATAGGCGAGGTAACCAGGCAGTAAACTGTTGGTTTACAATAAAGATATTAATCTACATAAACTGTGAAATTAATGTGCATCAATGACAATATAATAATAAAGATAATCTCGAAGTCTTTAATAAGCACATATTATATGAAAGCATCTTCAAAATACATTAATAAACAGCACTACACCAATTAAAAAATGTATATATTAAATCATATCGCCACTATAATTTCTACCCAAGGTCTCTGGAACTACTACAGGTGGACCTCTCTGACAGGAAAACCTGTACTGAAATCACCCATAGGTGGCAGTATAATCTTATGGACCACGTCTGACATGACTGTTGATTTCTTTTTAATGGAATGGGCAAGAGAAGAATAAGAACATGAAAAGAAGATGATATGAACCCATTCTTGACCCCCCTCACGAATCAAATGGATTTTTTTTTTTTTAATTCGCATGTCATCCAAAAGTTTGGATATAAAAATAATCGAATCACGGTATCACCCTCGCTAAATTCCTTCAAGCCTATGCTCAATTTTTTTTATTTTTTTATTATGTGTAACAATTTTGCCTAACATTTCTCTCTCTCTCTCTCTCTCTCTCTCTCTCTCTCTCACTCTCTCACTCTCTCTCACTCTCTCACTCTCTCTCTCTCTCTCTCTCTCTCTCTCTCTTTATCAGGCTCTCACGTTACATACATTAATTGTTTTGCTCGGGCGACCATGCTGGCTACATGCACGTATTCCTCATCGCATGTCTTAAAATCGCATGTAGTTGAATTGGAAGAATATTCGAAATAGAGAGAAATGTCATTGCACTTTACATTAAAAAATCACCAAGATGTTGTTTCGATTTAGATTTTATTTTCTTCTGCATTTATGTAAGTACACAGTTTTTCGATAATAATAAGTGTTTTTCTGACAATGAATCATAAATAAGGAAATACATATATAAATTGTTATTTTCAAAAACAAAATGATAAACTGTCACAAATACTAAATTTCCTCAAACCTTATAAAACATTATAAAATTATTTGCGGAAGAAGGACTGTCATTGTAAGCAGATTGCTTGATAATACGACAGCCCCAGAGAAAAACTCATGAAATAGATTAACACATTTATTAAGCAGAAACAGATAGGTAATTGAAAATACAAATTTTGATGATATTGACAATGCAGATGAGGATGATGATGAAGATGATGATGATGATGATGATGATGATGATGGTGACGATGATGATAATGATTCGAATGAAAGAAGAGATGACATTATGATAAAGACTGAAGAGTTGACACAGAAAATTTACCTTGAATATTCTGATAATAACATCGTTTTAACTTTTGCCTTAAATGAGTAGAGGGAGCAATATGATTTAACCGATTCTTGGAGAGAGTTCCATTGGTCAGGACCATGGTGTCTTATGGATCCATGGGCAATACGTAATTTCGGGTTTACTAGATGAAAGTTTGAAGAATTACGGGTAGGGTAAGAGTGAATGGCTTTATTCATAGTGTAAAAGTTCTGAAATGAAAGAGGGAGCATTATTATTTAAATACTTAAACATGAACAGTAAACTTTGTACCGAATTTATATCGAATACTGTTAGGTTTTTTTTAGTTTGTAAAAATATTGCACTGTGT